ATATATATATATATATAAGGAGAGACCCACTTACTTCATTCAATAACTTATCTTCTATATTAAATTTTAATGATCCAACTGTTAATTTAAAATTCCTTAATGTTTTGATTAGATATACAAATTTTTAAAAAACTTGAAAATTATTTTGATACTTTCTTTCATTAATTCAAATCAACGTATAAAATATTTTTTTGATTATCCCTCAATTTGAATTAATGAAATAACATCAAATGATTTTTAAATTTAAAAAAAATTACAAACTTAATCTTTGTATTAAAAACTTTTAAATTAACGATTGAATAATTAAAATTTAACATAAAACTTGAATTATAAAATAAAGTAAGTAGAAATAAACTTATTCTTAGAGTATATATATATATATCCTCAATCACACCATTTGCATCTTAGTTAAATGTAATATATAGACACGCACACCCCAAGTGACAATTACGAGCATAAAACTAATTTAAATATCAAAACTGATTAACATAAGTAATAGTGACTTGTTTTCTTTAATCAAATTGTCCGAAATTTGAATCCTAATATTGGATATTGGGTATAAAACAATACGGGGTGTTATGTTATAAGAAAAATATCCATATTGAATTATTTACGATCTCTAATAGATATGAATTACTGCTTTCAATAGTTAATACTTTGTTCCAATATCATGGTTATAAAAAATATATCTAAATAAATCCTTCAATTATTCATTGGAAAATTAATTTTAATTGTTCATGTATCATGTATCATGTATCATGTATGATAGAATGATAACTCATGTTATCTTCACAGTGACTTGATACACCCTATATACATAATCTAAATCATCAAACATGATATGAGCTCTAAGCCTCTTACCACACAAGAAATAGTGACAACGATTATCATACATGGTTCGAGTCGCTATAACTGTTGTAGCCATCCCAACATCTTCAAGTCATCGTACACTAGCCATCTTTTGTCATATATTCGACAAATAAATCAGATCATTTAACAATTTCGACTACTAGCGGCAGGGTAACTAAAGCACATAAAATTCCATAAATTAACCAGACAAATGAACTTTTCTTTCTTTTTTACAAAAACAAAGTTTCTTGTTTCTCAATCTCAACCCACGGAAAAGAGAGAATAATAGAAAAAGAAAATTTTAAAAGAGGAAGAAATTTCAAACAAAGCCGTAGATTGAAAATAATTAGAAGGTACCGTCAAAACTTTCAATTTATCACATCCTTAGGTCAGTTGTGCTTGGTATCGTCAACCTGTTTTGCTCCGACAGAGAAGAACTCAATGATCACTTCCAGTGGCATGCCCTTGGTTTCTGGAACTTTCAAAAAGACAAATACCCAAGCTATGAAGCACACGACAGCATAAATACCAAAAACACCAGCAAGGCCTACAGAATTGAGCATAACTGGGAGTGTGTAGGTGACAATAATATCACAGATCCAAAATGTAAGAGCACAAATGGCAATGCAGAGACCACGAACTCGAGTCGGGAAGATCTCTGCACAAAGTATATTAGGAATTGGCCCAAATCCCATGACAAAGAAACAGAAATAGACAATAACACTAATGGTTGAGATTGATGCATTAGCAGTGGTGCCCAAATCCACAAGACTGCCCAGGACTAATATGAGAAGAGCTGCTATCAGGATGGGGATTGTACTGAGCAGCAAAGTCCTGCAAAAAAAAAGGCAGAGGGTATCACTAAGATGCGTCAACGGAAAGTGTACAAACAAGTACTGGGGAAAGACACAAGGAATCACATTGCAGGGGTACCAAAGGTGCAAAGAGCAAATAATTCAGCAAACATCAAGTACTTACAGCTTACAAGCATTTATCTAATTCTGTATCTTCAGACACCTTTCAAATTATAAAGAAAAAAATTTTAAAATATGTGTGTGTGTGTGATCAGCTTATAAAAACCCCAAATAATTCTACACACCTGCAAGAATTACTAAACTAAAACAAACCAACACCAATATAACTTCAGCTATGAACATTTACTGATATAGCCTAGCCATAAAAAAGATATTTCAGCAAACAACTAGAGAAAAGTAAAATAAGAAGAAAAAATGCACCTTATACAGGAGGAAAAATAAAAGAAAAAGAAAAAAGGGGGCATCGGAACCAGCAAAAATCTCCTAAACATCTTAATCAGGCTTGATAAAGCAGAGTGAAAAAGTCAAATCCACCTGTTATAGATATCTACTATAAACTAAAAGATTTTAGAAAAGCACATGAAAGGGGAAAATGCAATAGAAATAGTATTTCATAAGAAAACGCCCCACCAACTACATCCACCCCTTAAACATATTTCATATTATTTGATAAAGAATTCAATAGAAAGTGGTAATGGGGAGATGAATACCTTCTGCCAGAAATATCCATGAGCCTCATGGCAACAGCTATACAAGGAAGCATCAACAAGGTTGTCACTGCACTAATAAGAAAGGACGAAGAAGTAGAACCAAGGCCTAGGTTAGAAAGAAGATAACCAACACCTGCCTGCTCAAGAATTTGAGGTGTATAGTAGAGGACCCCATTTATACCAGAGAACTGCATCCAGAAAGGATTTAAATGAGTCCAGCATAACTTTTCACCGGTGGCAGAACCAGGCATTATTGGTTGACATAAAGATGTCAAAGATTAGTCAATGAATAATAATTGACTTAATTAGCCACTTGAGAGAATTAATTGTTCCCATTTTTGCATTTTTTTTTTATAATAGAACACCACAAGCATGTGACTCTAGTAACACCACCTGCTCGGCAACTTTCAAACCAAAAAGCACATCATTTTAGGTAAAGGTTTAGCTTGATTTACAAATTGCCTCAGCTTTGGGATTAACACCGTTTATTTTGTGCAGTTAAATAAAATCAGTCACAACTCAACCCATAAAGTAAAAGGTATTCAATGACATTGATACAAATGATTAGTGTAAAATCTTTAAAAATGAAAATGCTATTTGATTACATAGAATAATATAAAGTTTTTTGCGGTAATGTACAAAGAGCTTCAATCCCTTTGTTTTTTTCCTTTTTAGGCCATAAAAGATAGGAAATTCAATAATGATTCAATAATAATCTAGTATGTCTAAAAACAATTGACACAATCCCATCAAAGTTGGATTTAATTATAGCATGAATTCATAGATATGATGTAATTTATTTTTACTATATTAAGAAGGAATTTTCTTTTTAGTCTCAAATTCCTAAAATATGTTATCCACTAAAGGTAATTGGAATAGTTATGATTCAATTAAATTTAATATCATATACCATTAAGAAGGAACCCCGAACCCACTAGTCATAATGAACCAAAAATGTGTTTCAATTAAATTGTGGTTCACAATGTCATTTATGCACATTGATGTGCATAATTCACAAAAATAATCAAGTAATTTTATTTGTTTTACCAAAACAGATCTCAAAAATTATTTTTCAAATCCAAAGAAATTTGGCTATAATCATTTCCATACTATTTCCTAATTTTACATTTGAAAAATATTTGCTTAAGCTGTTGGGTGAAAGTGCCTACTGATTTTATATTTAACACCAACTAAAACAATTTCACTCCAACAACTCTTTTCAAATAATATCTCAAATTTAAACTTTTTTTTTTTTCAAAATGCACTCTTCTATAAACCAATAATTGCCAAAGTAATTCTCTTAAAAAATTAAAAATCCCAGCCACAGCAAAAGTCCAAACAAACTCATTTGTTGAAGCTCAAATGAACTGTATGGGCACTGTTGAAAATGGAAAAGAGACTATTTGAAATGAGTTTCATGAGTTATTCCTAGTCCAATTGACTGTTAACATCAGAAAGCTCCTTAAACCCTTAATAGTCGTTACATACTGACGAACACAATAGAGAGGACATCTTATTAAGCTATATGAAAAATTGCAACCTCCTAGCCTGTCAGCATTTTCAAGAAAGCAAACAAGATGGAAAAAAAATAAAAATAAAATAAAAAAGCACCAGTAACCACCACTTGGATACAACACAATGAATGTTTCATCAAAAGGCCAGGAAAACAAAGTACTTAAGAGCAACATTACAACAGATGGGAATGGCAAAAAAGCAGATATTGAAAATATGTCATTACCTGCTGAAGAATTTGAAGTCCCACCCCCACCATCAAAGCATGCTTCACCCCAGGTTCAAAAAGATCACTCCAACTTGGCCCTTTTGCAGCAGTTTCAGACGGATGAATCATAGCTGGTCCAACTGGCCCTTGTTGCATAAGCTCCTTGTTATAAAGGGCTGGCTGACTCACCAGAGCAGCAGCCTGTACAATCTCACCATCAGTTGGTAAATCACCACCAGGTAGTGAAACCACAGACCCACGTGTAGAACCAGGACCACCATCTTGGCGTAAATATATTCTCTTAAAGCCACCTTCCTTTCCATCTGGGCCCTCTCTTTCAGACCATTTCCATGCTAGCTGCCAACCACCACCAATCCCGGTACTACCAGTGGGTTCTCCTGCATTTCCATGTAAAAGACTACCTTGCCTCATGCTTGAAAGATTACTATGGCCACGAGGTATGTCCTTATCCAGACTTGTTGTTTGACGAGAGATCAATGGACTCTGCAAATTATCATCAGAATCACCGGCAGCAGCATCAGAGGCATAATCATCACCCTCTCTGGCAAGGCTTTCTTCATCCCAATCTTCATTCCTGGGTTGATTTCCCCCAACACTAAACATACTTCCAAAGTGAGGGAAAAGGGCACTTCGCATGCTTCCTGTTTCTGGAAGCTTCTCATGAATACTACCAAAGAGGGTTACTAGAGGATCCACTAGACCACTCGGATTAGCCATGCTTCCTTTTCGAGATACAAGGCCAACAGAACTTTGTCCAGCAACGGGTCTAGCAACCCAGGACTGACCTTGATCTGGTCCATACAACTTAATATGATCTTTTTCTCTGGATGGATCCTCTTCACCAGCAAGTTCATTGGCTGGACCAACTATATACTCTTCTATGGCTGTATCAACCCCAACTCCAAGACCCTCAACCAATAAAGCCATTTCACCTGTCCATGCCCAATGGCAATTATTATCCAAGCATGAATATATACAAATTAATTACTACAGTAGAATCAAAAGAAAGTAAACAATTTGAATTTACCAGGAATATCAAAAGCCCAAAGCCACAAAGGATCAAAATCAACTAATGCATCTATACTGAGAGAATGGAAAAAATAAAAAGATAATTAACAGTTATGTAAACCGAAGCTTCTAAAATGATTTAAGTATGTATTTTAATTTATATGCACTATTAATGTAAAACATTGTTATACACATTCAATAGGAATTCATTCCTTGATATGATGAGGGGATAGGGTGAATTTCTATAAGATGTCTATACAAAATGTTTTACACTGATGGCGCATATATATATATATATATATATATATATATATATATTTGAATGTTTATAGCCCCCCCTTTTAAGAATACATTAAATGTTTATAATCATATTTACATGAACTAGTCAATCACCGACAGACCACACTGTCTTAACAATATATGGTTCAGCATCAATTCTTGTTACCCATCACAATTCACAAATGAACTGCGACAACAACTTTGCTAACTGGAACAGATCAGGCTCATAGAGTACATATATAATCGCCCAAAAGTGAACAGCTGAATGTCCAGCGCAGCTAGGATCTAATTTGACTGTCAAAAGTAGTAAAGCATGAAAAAATGCAAGTAAATGGTGAAGACTACACACATAACTAACCAGAAACATCTTCCCTTCCACGAAGGCTCTGCAAAACCTTCTTGGCCTCAAGCATTCGGCCTTTACTGACAAGCCATCTCGGAGACTCGGGCAAGAACAAGAGTGTGAGTGCAAAATAAATAAGAGAAGGAATTGAAAGAACACCCAACATGATTCTCCAGCTTGGAGCCTTCATGAGTGACATCCCAAAAACCATACAGTAGGAGAAAAACATTCCGGCAGAACCAGTGAACTGTGGAAGTGTATTAAGTAATCCCCTAATTTCAGGAGGAGCTGTCTCAGATATGTAAAGAGGTACCAAGGTAACTGCCAAACCAATTCCCAAACCATCTAAAAGTCTTGCAATGAGGAGGATATAAACATTTGGAGACCATAGCATGACAAGAGAACTAACAAAATAAAGAAGAGAGGAGATGATCAACATTGGACGTCGGCCTAGCAAGTCTGATAGGGCTCCAGAGCATGTAGTAACTACGGTGGCTCCAATAAGTGACATAGCCACAATTAGACCTTCAACTGTGGGTTCACTTTCTAATTGAAACTCCTTTTTTATGTACAAGATGGATCCTGCATACAAACTTGCCATTGGTTAGATGAAAGAAACAAAATCAAATCAATTAACAGAAACACACCAGACCTGCTATAGTCGCATTATCCCATCCTTGCAGTAAGTTGCCGATGGCAGCTGCAACAGCAACAAGAACAGCTCCACTCATCGTTTTAATTACTTTCAGCCTGGAAAAGCAGATAATAATAATCAATCTTTAATAGATAGATCCAACATAAATTGATGAGATCCAGAACGCAAACCCTATTTTCCATTCCCGTACCTAGGCTTTGAGGGTGGGTGTCTGAGATGCGGAAAGGGACATAGGTCACTCACTGCGAGGGCTTCTTTTTTCTTTCTTTCCTTTTTTGTTTTTTTATTCTTAAAAAAAGTAATAGTCGAGTGAGTGAGTGCAGGTGCCGTAGTAAGACAACGAAAGGCGTATAGAAAACAACACAAGTAGCGATCCTATTCGTCGGGTCGAAAAGTAAAGCTGGTAATGAAATGAATCCTTTTTTTTTTGCAACAGAGGCTCGCTAGTTGACACCTGCCCTTTTCGCTCTCTCACTGCTCTGCACGTCGATCGGAATCAGTTATGCGTCAAACAATCATCATTCGGACTACACACTTTATGCTTCAATATCGCTTTCATAAAAGGAAAATAGTATAGTAACACAAAATAACTCATTTCTTTTTCTCCCATCAAAAGTAAATTACTTGCTGGCTTGCGTGAACCAATAACAATAGCCCACCAAATATATCTAATACTAAAACATTTTTATACTAATTTTTATGGCAAAATAAATTTTCTGTATATGATACATATAGAAAATGTTTGCTACATAGAATTTCTTTTTCGGGGATTTATTGAAATAGGATTTTGAAAGAATTTTTTAGTTGAAAAAAATTATGTGAATTTTAAAAGATTTTACAATATTTTTATGACTTTCAAAATTTTATAGAATTTTGGGATACTTTCAATCAAAATTTTAAAAATAAAAATAATAATATTTCATGACTTAATTTTCTCAAAAATTTGAAGTTAAAAATGTTTAGTGTGTTATTTAAAAATAAAAATAATAATATTTTTAAGAAATATTGTATCTCAATATTTTTTACATAGATTTTTTGTAAAATTATTTTCATAAAATATTATCTCTATTAATCTATTACCAGCTTTGGTAATTTATTAACACAGAGGACATTTGAATATCATTTCCAGTAATTGTTAGCATATTTTCTATTGTGTTAGTTACTGTAATTGGTTTGCCAATTTTGGTTTAATGCTAGTTAGTTGTTTGGGTCTCACTTGTAACTCTATAAGAGCATTACATTGGTTAATGAATATTCAGTGAAGTATTTCAGCATTTTATACTTCTTCGTTCTTTATATTCTAACATTTTGGCATCAGAGCTCCTATTGGGGCTTGTGAAGAAAGTGAGTTGCATTCGTGATAGAGAGAATGACAAATGCAAACGATAGCAGTTTTGTACAACTAGCAATTCCGCGCTTCGATGGTCACTATGACCATTGGAGTATGCTGATGGAAAACTTCTTAAGATCCAAGGAGTATTGGAGCTTGGTGGAAATCGGATTTGAAGATTCAGAAAAGGGAAGTGCAGCTACTGAAGATCAGAAAAAGAAACGTGATGAGATGAAACTGAAAGATTTTCAGGTCAAGAATTACTTGATTCAAGCCATAGATAGGACAATCTTGGAAACAATCTTAAAAAAGAATACATCAAAGGAAATATGGGATTCGATAAAAAGAAAATATGAAGGCAATGCAAGAGTGAAAAGGTTGATTCTTCAAGGTTTAAGGAAAGAATTTGAGATTCTTGAAATGAAATCAGGTGAGAGCATAACTAACTACTTTTCTCGGGTCATGAGTGTGGCTAGCAAGATGAGAACATATGGAGAGCAGATGCAGGATGTAATAATTGTTGAAAAGATTCTAAGATCCTTAACTGACAGATTTAATTACATAGTTTGCTCAATTGAGGAGTCTAAAGATATTGACTCTCTTTCCATTGATGAACTTCAAAGTTCTTTGATAGTTCATGAGCAAAAATTTCACAAAAAACATGAAGAGGAGCAGGCACTCAAAGTAAGTTCTGAAGAAAGAAATGACAATGGAGGTAGGGGCAGAGGCAGCTATAGAGGAAGAGGAAGAGGAAGAGGAAGAGGAAGAGGGAGGCAAAATCGAGCCACAATTGAATGTTTTAAATGTCATAAACTCGGGCATTATAAGTATGAATGTCCAGATTGGGATAAAGATGTTGAGCTTAGGAGAGCTTGAATCTTAAAGGAGTTTTGATGATCACAACAAGTATACAACAACAACTTGGAGCACAAAAACAAAGTCAAGGAAGAGTCAAGAAAATGCTATGAAATGGAGCTATGTAATAGAGCTTAGGAAATAAATTGTTTTGAATATGTTTGTATATTTTGTGTGCTTTGTATGCTTTGTACATAAGCAAATCTATATCTAAACTAAGTAGAGAGTATATGATGATGAATTAAAAAGATTGGAAACTTATTTTGAGGTATAAAATGAAGTTTTAAAAACTAACTCAAAATAATCGATTATCATTAAAAATAATCGATTATTCCAGCTAATAGGCAAAGTGGAATGCCTTGTTGTAATAATTGATTATTCGCCAAAATAATCGATTATCCCAGGAACAACTCTCTGGAATAATCGATTATCCAGCTAAATAATCGATTATATTGTTCTTGGTTGATTTCCAGAAAATCTGAAGAACAAAATAATCGATTATTCTTTAAAATAATCGATTATCTGTGTCTGAAACTTTTATAAATAGTTTGAACTTTGAGAAACTTCAGACATGAGTTAGAACTGATAATCAATTTGTGAAAAACGTTTTTGTGAGTCTTTGTGACATCTTGGAGAGTTTTCTTTGTGAAATCCAAGAGTGAAAACGTTTGTGAAAAGCTTTGTTAGAAGATCATCATCATCATATTCTTGAAAGGGGAAGATAAAGATTTGTTCAAGAATTCCAGGTGAATTCGTTCCTTTTATTCTTTGTGAATCTTTGTGGAAAATCTTGAGAAGGGTTTCTCAAGTGGTAAGGTTTCTTGTAGTGGGTTCTACAAGGGGTGCTTTCTTGGGGTCAAGAAAGTGGTTATCTTTAGTGTTGAAGTATATGCATGTGTGTGTGCTTGTAAACCTTCTTGCTTAAAGATAGTGGAACAAATCTTAATCAGGTGTTGATTAAGGACTGGATGTAGGTCACATGTGGAGTGGCTGAACCAGTATAAAAGACTTGTGCAATCTTCTTCTACCTTATCTTTTACTTTGTGTAATTTCTTGGTTAAACTTTAAAGAAGATAAAACTTGATTAACAAGTGTATGTGAATCTTGATGGTTTAAATCTGTAATTGAACATTATTGTTGAACCTCATTATGTTGTAATCAAGTGAGCATATTGCATTCATATTTTTGTAACAAGTCTTTAGAAGAGCTTCATTTGGAAATTCTGTCATAGAAAAGTTTTAATTGAAATTAAGATCCAAAATACTCTGATAAATTTTTAAAAGGGTCATTGAATCCAATTCACCCCCCCTCTTGGATTGTGCCATTCTTTTCTAACAAAAGAAGCCTATTATGTTGCATTCAATGAAGAAGAAGAGCTCTTACTAATGGCTTATGAGGATTTACATGATGTGCAGACAACAAATGCATGGTTCTTGGATTCTGGTTGCTCAAACCACATGTGTGGAAATAGAGCTTGGTTCAAAGAAGTAGATGACACCTTCAAGCAACATGTAAAGCTTGGTAATAACACAAGAATGGAGGTGACTGGAAAAGGAAGTGTTAGGTTGAACATTAAAGGAGTCACTCACGTAATTACTGATGTGTTTTTAGTACCAGAACTCAAGAACAATTTGTTGAGTATAGGGCAGCTGCAAGAAAAAGGCTTAACGGTAATGTTTCAGTCAGGAACCTGCAAGTTGTACCATCCTGATAAGGGTTTGATCCTAGAGACTAATATGACAACAAATATAATGTTCATTCTATTTGCTCAATCTGCAACCAAGAAGGATTCATGCTTTCACATCTCTACTCAGGATCTCTCATCTTTATGGCATCATAGATATGCACATCTTAGTCACAAAGGACTAAGAATTTTACAAAGCAAAGGAATGGTTAGAGGCCTTCCCTCTTCATTATCTACAACAGAAAATGTGTGTGAAGATTGTACGAAAGGAAAACAACATCGAGATCCCATCCCAAAGAAAAGTCAATGGAGAGCAAAACAAAAATTAGAATTAATTCATGCAGATATTTGTGGCCCGATCACTCCATCTTCCAATAGCCAAAAGAGGTATTTTTTGTGTTTTATTGATGATTACTCTAGAAAGACATGGATTTATTTCTTAACAAAAAAATCAGAGGCATTTCACTACTTTCAATGTTTTAAGAATCTTGTTGAAAAGGAATCTGGTTTGATGATTAAGTGCCTCATAACTGATAGGGGAGGAGAGTTCACATCATTGGAGTTCAATGAATTCTGTCAGAAAACAGGAATTAAAAGACAGTTAACAATAGCTTACACCCCTCAACAGAATGGGGTAGCTGAGAGGAAGAACAGAACCATCATGAACTTGGTGACAACTTTATTATCAGAGAAGAAACTTCCAAAATCCTTTTGGCCTGAAGCAGTAAACTGGGTAGCGTATGTACTAAATAGATCTCCAACATTGGCTGTCAAGAATCAAACGCCAGAGGAGGCTTGGAGTGGTGTCAAGCCTTCAGTTGAGCATTTTAGGGTGTTTGGTTGTGTAACTCATGTACACGTTCCAGATGCAAGGAGAACCAAATTGGAAAACAAGAGTTGTAAATTGTTCTGTTGGGAATGAGTGAGGAATCTAAAGGATACAGGCTCTATAATCCAATTACAAGGAAGATCGTGATAAGTAAAGACGTGGTCTTTGAGGAAGACACTCAATGGAACTGGAATGTCAGTCACAGAGAAGAACAAATTGCAGATTTAGAATATGGAGATACTAAAAACACCGCTGAAGTTAAAGAAGAGAATACAATAGATAGTGAATCTAATGACGAAGAAGGGAATCAGTCACAACATGAAGAAAATAAAGTGATCAATGATGAAAGGGGCAGAAATAGACACCCACCTGGTTGGATGAGAGATTATGTAGACGGAGAAGAATTCTCAGAATCTAAAGATGCAATAAATATGGCCTTAATAGATTGTACAGATCCTGAAAGTTTTGAAGTTGCTGTAAAAAGCTCCAAGTGGAGACAGGCTATGGATGCTGAAATTAACTCCATTGTGAAAAACGGGATATGGGAACTCACTGATTTACCAGCTGGAGCAAAGAAGATAGGAGTTAAATGGATCTACAAGACTAAGTTGAATGAGATTGGTCAAGTGGACAAGTACAAGGCCAGGTTAGTGGCTAAAGGCTACTCTCAAGAACAGGGGGTGGACTATATAGAGGTGTTTGCTCCTGTAAGCAAAATGGACATTGTGAGAATGATAATAGCTATTGCAGCAAGTAGAGGGTGGAAATTGTATCAACTTGATGTGAAATCAGCCTTTTTGTATGGCACTCTAAATGAGGAT